GCCAAGCCTATTGGTAAGATACAAACCCATCTTCTCGTCAGAGAGGATGTTACATAAGGACTATTACCGCAATAGTTCAGCTGAAAAATCTCTAGCTGTGGTCCTCAAGGGGCCTGACGCAAAGACGAACTGATTGGCGGTAAACCGCCAGTCGTAAGGTAACTTTGATGCTGACTTTTGATAGTAGGAGTTGAGAGTTGATAGAAAAGAGTTAGTTGTAAGAATGCGACTGTGAAAAGAATACTTCACTCTTTCTAAGTTACAGCGAGACTGACAGTGTTTTAAAATCCGTTGCCAGGATACTACTAGTGAAGACGGAGAAAACTTAGCATGTTCTAGCAATTTTTATAGTGTGGAGCATAGCGATGGAGCTATAATTACTTGTAGTTACGAGTGGTGCCTATAGGTGGGCAAAAAATCCATTCATTAAGCCATATCCCGTCTATAGTCACACACCCCTAAATCGTGAGGATATACTGACTGAAGAAGTAAGTAAGGCTTCTGAGCACGAGGTAACCGAGAGAGGAACAGCGCCGAGAGATTTGCTCCATCCCTCTCATTTGTCTTCCTAGCGGCTGCGACGGGCAATTTCTTTGCTGTGCAGTTGGCTACACTTCTCCGGGCGCATCTCCTCAGTTTTTGTTCCCCACATCCTTAACGGTTATTAGCAGAGTTTAATCAAGACGCGGCGCAGCGAAACATATCCGTGTACAGTAACGGGGGCTACCAGCAGAGCGTGTCACTGCTGCAAACCGCCCTAGTCCCTCCCCCGGGGCCCTGTGTTATTTTCCTTACAGCGTCCATTCCCACGACGTCAGCAGCGTCAGCAGTGATGCTTAATCTCTCTGAACACAAGTTAGAGGAACCATCTTGGATTTGGGGTTCTCACGGCGTTAGCTAAGTGAAGTGACGCCGTGGAGTCTGGTATAAATTCACCAATTTTGTTGAGGAGTATACTGCCGACATATTTAGTGTCGAAACGTTCGTCAAGCAACCAGGAAGATGCAGGCGGCAAATGGAGCGAGCTTCGTTTCTTAAAGTGAGACTGAGTCCACTTGCTACGTCGGACACTAACTGGCCTATTGTACCAGCCCCGGATGATAGATGGCGAGTGTTGAGCGGCTGGTGGAATGAGAATTGGCAGGGGAAACCGAAGTACTTGGACAAAAAGTGCCCCAGTGCCACTTTGTCCACAACAAATCCCAAATTATCTGATCTGGGCTCGAACCCGGGCAGTAACAGAGGAAGCTTACTCTTCTACCTTGACGATGGAAGTTCCTCCGAAATATCGAACTTCTACCGGACTATACGGTGTTACATCACGGGAAATCAGAAGCATATGAAATCTGCCCCTTGCTTAGATATCCAGCAACCAGCAACGCTTGCGAGAGAAGTACAATTCACATAAATGCGAGATGTGCTTTTCGCTTCGGTCAGTAAGTTCTGCCAGTTACGCCTCTCTTGCACTCAAAGATACGCGCGAGGCTTCAATCAGAGGTTCTTCATTTTGTTCAATTTAAATCTATTCTACAGCAACACCCGTTGAAAATTCAACGGGAAGTATAAGCATTTATTTACATATGCTCTAGGCCGCGCCATAGCTCAAGCGGTCAGTCGCTGGCTTTCCACCGCGGCGGCCCGGGTTCGATCCCGGGTCTGGTTAAGTGGGATTTGTGGTGGACAATGTGGCGCTGGAGCAGGTTTTCTCCGAGTACTTCGGTTTCCCCTTGCCAATCATCATTCCACCAATTGCTCCACAATCACCCTCACCTATCATCTGGGGCTGGTACAATAGGCCAGAAGTGGCCGCAGTACAAGGGACTTAGTCCCACCCCACTAGCAATAAAAAATACATATGCTCTCGTGCTGTTAGCTTCTCCTGCTTCGTGCCGTGTTCTTTTGCAGACTTTCATGTCACCGAAGTTTAACGTCATTCCCCACAAAAAAAACACGCATAAATAATTAATCGTGAACCATCTCATTTATATGGTATACTACACTATACATCTCTGCATAAAATATTAATATTCACAAAATAGACACGATACACTGTAAGAGAAACATGCTCGCTCTTTCATTAACTACTACGTCACTTACATTCATGTGACGTGCTAATGTTCCAGAATTCGTGGCGAAGGTAACAAGAAATGGGAGAGTAACATTGGCCAAAGGAGGGGAGACAGAGTCTATAGGTACCACGTGACGATGGCCAGAAATGCAGGCCCAGCAGTATAATACACGCAGTCACAGGAGCAAGACACAACATAAAGCACAATCCACATACGATAATAGAAAGAGTGCTCCGACAGAAGAGATTAGAGGTGACTCGAGAAGTGAGATACGACGTAGGAAAAATCCTGAACAATTTTAATATTTTTAATATTTGATATTTGTCGGTATATATGATAAATATATATTTTAATTATTTTAATATGAAGACAAGGCATGCAGTGAACTAGTTTGACGTTAATCGAATAAGCACCTGAAGATGGCACTTTTGTGCCGAAACATGTAGTGCGGGAGAAAGGAGTGAGGCAGATAAGTGTATGCAATAAAAGACGGTGAAATAAATCGTGGACTTAAATCAGTGCAACAGGACGCTAAAATATAACATCATTGGATTTTTTCAATTTACCTCATCCTTCCAGCCGAACTATGACCCTCGGGTCGACTCAGCCTTTAAGAGAAATGAATACCACGAATCTTTCTGGGGGTAGAGGGCGGCCGGAGCGTAAGGCTGACAACCTCACTGCCATCTGTGAGCCGATTGTCTAGAGAAAATGTGGGAGCCTCGACGTCTCGGAACCTTAGGGACCTCCACGGCCTGTTACAGGGATAACTTTACCTTTATACCTGTATAAACAGGTCCTTTCGCTGCGTGCTGTATTCTAAATTGATGTCGGTCGGCTTATTTTGACGCTGCAAGCGACCAGGGAGAAAGGTCCCCTCAGGGCCCTGAAAGTCACTGCTGCTTGCTGTTCCGCCACTGGGGGCGGCCGCAACGCGCGACCATGAGCCTCTGGTTTAGCGTGACGGAACGACGCAGTGGGCCCACTGGCTCGGGCAGCGACGCTTCTGGGGCGTCCTCGGCTGATGACGGTCGGGAAACCCACTAAACGTATTTAAATTTTCGTGGTTTTCCTCGGTCTCTCCGGTCAAATGTCAGGGTAATTTAAAGGTAAGGTAAAGTTGTCCCTGTGCTTTACTAATTAAGCACTACGCCATGAAGGCGTATGAGGGAGTGGATGTACAGGTCCACATTTTCTTGATCTCGGCACTAGCTGGAGGTGAGAGGTCAGTTTCACGCTCCTGCCGCTTTATCCACGGGGAAAGAACCCCCGGTAACCATTGGATAGGAGGCTGGGTGATCCCTCAGAGCCAGTCTGGACGACGTGGAGAGAAGAAAATTCTTAACTCTACCGGGATTCGAACACCGAACCCTCGGTCGTCCAGCCCGTAACCAGTTCCTATACAGACTACGCTACCAAATATGATAAATTAGGTCAAGACAACTTCCTTCCACATCCCCTCCAATTCATTACTGACTAGTAATACTACCATTTTAAACTAGATAAATACAGAGTGTCCCAGGAGGAAAGGTCAATATTCTTGGAGGTCACAGTATCGGCCATTCCAAGCAAAAAAGTGTATATGTACATGTGTCCTATTCCGAACGGTTTCCGAGATACAGCTATTTCACTGTACAGTTCCAAAATAGTTGATAGGAATGAGATAACACGTACTGTTTCTAATACCAGTATTTATTGTTCAAGTGAAAAAGTTGGTAAGTTTACCTAGTACAACACATTTTCGAAAATTCCACGGTCAACATCAATGCACTTTGCAACTCGTGTGAGGACATGGCGTGTTTCTCGTCTATACAGTGAAATAGCTCTAACTCGGAAACCGTTCGGAATAAAATATACTTATATACAGAATGTTTCACGACTTTAGGGAATAACTGCAGGAGGTGATTTCCTAGGTCTTTGTGATCAAAAAAGTTCATATAAACATGTGTCCGATTTTGGACGGTTACGGAGTTATGACCGTTTTAAACTCAGAATAGAAGGTAACGATTACTGACAATAAACGGAACAAAATAATCAACCAGCATAATACATGATACATTTAAAGTATGAATGTAATGTTAACTTCGTGAAATTACCTTTAATTTGAATTTATTGGTGCTTAAAGCTGATTTTCGAAAATGTCATCGCCGGCCGCAACACAGGCTGCCGCTCGGTTGTGAACCGCGCCGGACATACCAACCCACCACGCCTTAGGTAACTCTCAAGTGTCGAGATAACGAGAACGCTCTGTCTGTAGCTGGCTAAAAATAGCGACCCGCCAGCTGACAGACGCGGTTCACACGAGGGCGTGTACGGGAATGAAAAAACGGTCATAACTCCGTAACCGTCCAAAATCGGACACATGTTTATATGAACATTTTTGATCACAACGACCTCGGAAATTACCTTGTGCAGTTATGCCCTAAAGTCGCGAAACACCCTGTATACTCTGTTTTTCATATAATGACCGATACTGTGACCTCCCAGAATACTGACCTGTCATCCTGGGACACCCTGTATATCGTGAGGTACTGCTAGTGTATTTACACAACCCGTATATAAATAAAATAAAGACGAGTAATATGTTTATGTGTAAAACAGTCGGGGTAGCTCAGCCAGCATCGTGACGGGCTACGAGCTGGACAGCAGGGATTCTATCCTTGGCAGGAACAAGAGGTTTCTCTCTCCTCCACAGCGTCCAGACCGGCTCTGGGGCCCACCCAGCCTCCTATCCAATGGATACCGGGGATAACGCGGCCGGGGCGTGAAGCTATTTACCTACATTTAGTTCCGAGGTCAAGAATGGTGGAGTTATGCCTCCACTCCCCCATACCTCTTCACGGCAAGGCACACTTTAGCTTCTTGATGTTTGTTTATACGCTGTGTGATGGACCGAAGCAGAGAGGTGGGCGTCAGCACGCACCGATTGTGGTGATCACGGTGACGGAGTAAAGAAGCGCCCCGCTGAAGGACCACTGGCGGTCGGCGTCCAGCAACTCCTTACCGTCGTACCCCTGCATCTTGGTGGCCTCCACGACGTCCGTCTCGAACTTTCGCAGCTGCTCATGCACCAGATGTGTCCAGTTCTTCTCGTACAGGACGTTCAGCCGCTCTGGAACACACGGCGGCGCAACTGCATTAGCCCCGTGACAATATTAAAATGGATCTTAAAGAAACATGGTGTGAGGATGTGAACTGAATTCAACTGGTCCAGTTACGAGATTCTGTGAGCATGGTAATGAACCCTCGGGTTACATGGGTGTTATTTCTTGACTACCTGAGCAACTACTGGTTTCTCATGAAAGCAGTGTTCCATTACGTTTGTTAGGTCATAAATTTAATCCACACCCCACAATCTATATAACATTATATTAATATGATTCTCCCATCTACGACTTGGTCTTCCAGGTGGCTGTCTTCCTTCAGTTACTCAGATTTTTTTAATAAGATTTTCTCATACATTTCCACGTGCGTCATTCCGCGAAGAACGGACTCACACTGTAGCAGTTCGCAGCGGTACTACCGGGGGGCCCACAAGTCATTTAACTCATTGGTATAATGTTAGCAATCCCTTTATTTCTTACTACAGAGTTTTCAAACATTTTCGAAATGAGACCCTTCATGCTCAGTGCACAACTCACAACGCTGTGATACTGTCCTACAAATTGACTGGTAGGTTTTAAGTCCGAACGTTCCCGTTAAAACAAGTACAACAGAATGTTTTAGGTTAACTGTGCACTAAACGGGCAAGTGACATGGCGTCAGCAGTGGGAGAATGTAATTTGCACTGGAGCGGATAGACGGAAGCTGGCCAGCGGATCAATTAGTGACGTCAGTCGAATTTAGGGACGTTTGCATTCATACTTATCCTTTTTTTATCGGTTTCAGAGATTCTTGAATTTGTCGAAAGCCTAATTTCTATACTTATATATAAATTATAAGTTAATTTGGTAATTACATGACATCTGTATGGATTCACCGTATCGATATCAAATGCCTTTCTCCCATGTATCGACACTATAAGTCAACAGCTTCAGTCATCACCGCGCTCAACGTCACAGTTGCAGGAACATGTGAGATCTACATTTGTACACACCCGGTGGAGAAAGTGTGCTGGGGCTATTCGCGGGTGCCAGAGAAGTCTGTTGCACCAAGGCAGGCGTGAACTCTGAACTTGCAACAAGCTTACAGCTGGGCAGTCACAACTTCTGCGGCTTGGTGCACTTAACCCCGAGCTCAAGTTACTGAACGGGCATGACGAACCAGTCGTCAGGTCAGCGAGAGGTTTAGCAGAGGATTTGGCATCACGCAAGCTGGAGGGGGGGGGGTGTTCACTGAAGTAGCAGACACGACCCCTTCGACTTCTGGCACATTTCGAGCAAAATAGGGCCCACGATAGCCAATCGCATTGTCCGCGCTCTCCAAGCACGAAATGTCTTCGTTCGATCCAACATTGGGATCGTGGGTTCGAATCCTACTCGAGACGTGAACATCTGTATTTATTATGTGTTTGTTGCTACAAGGTAGAATGTCGTGGGTTCGATTCTCTTTGGGGTAATTACATTTTTCAATTGATCTAATTCTTCCAGCCGCACTATGGCCATGGGGTCGACTTAGCCGCTAACAGAAATGAGTACCAGGAATCTTCTTGGGGGGTAAAGGGCGGTTGGCGCGTTGACAACCTTACCGCCATCTGTGAGCCAAATTTCCACAAACGTGGGAGCCTCGACATTTCACAATCAACGGTCTGTTACAGGAATAGTTTTTCCTTTTTATAATAATCGCGATCAACAACAACTTTCATAGGTTAGGACTCCTGACCTGATGCTATTCATAATTAATTTCTTAAACTATGCATTATAGTGACACATGTGGTACGGTTCCTTGTGCAACCGCTCGGTCCAGCACAATGGCGCTGCCTACACAAGCACAAAACAGAAATTAGGTTGACATACATCCTCACACCTCGTCTGGGACACGAACCAACCATCTCAGTGTTCAAACAGTGGAAAACCGTACGCCAGGAATGCAGAGATATGGAAAGAATTGGATACTGAAGTAAGTGTGAGCTTCAGAAAACTCACAGCAGAGAGTAACATTGCAAATTTTCTTACACGAATCCGTCAACTGAGATACTATGTATGTGATATTAAGCGAGGAAAGTAAATATGAGATTAAGTGCTTCAAAAAATTCTCTTTATTAAAACCGTAAAACAAAAACCTGCTTATGCCCTCAGCATGATGCTTCCCATGCACTGATATCATTAAACACTGAGTTATGAGAATTCTGCTCTATAAATGTGCAATTGCTCACGCTTAGTGAGTTCACCGTCTTCACCGTAACATCACAGATATCGCAGCGCCTAACATGACATGACGCAGCCACTAAACGGGTGTACCTCCGTACATAATAACTTCACGTAACATTTGGTGCTGCCGGGCGTCTGGATCCTGTCCATCATCTGGTAACCCGGACAGAAAACAATGTTTCGGAAAATGGATTTGTTTCCATCCTCACATGAAAAGTGGGGAATATCTGCTCAGAACCCAGTATTGGAGAGGGTGGGTTTCCCCATGCACTTAGACCAACTGTTGGTCCATTGTGCGTCCCCCTATAATATTCTACCAGTCTCTATTCCTTACTGGCACTAGTGCGTGCCATCAGTCCCGACTCAGCCAGCGAGTTCGGCCTCTACTGGCTCAGCGGTATCTCAATGCTTCCCCCATCTACCAGAGGCGTTAGAGACTACTGTTGGGCGGGAAATGTACGATCAATTTGGCTCAGTGGTCCCCTTGGGACATGAGGTTCTTTTACGTGCCGTAAAGCTACGACACGGGACCCACGGCTTAAACTCCCTCCCGGAGGACTTGTTCCCTGAATTTTTTCCGCCCTTAAAAATTCCACGACCTCGGCCGGGTTTGAACCCGCGTACCTTGAGTCACGAGGTGGGAACGTTACCCCTAGACTACGAAGGCCGCTACCCAGTAGTGGTAAGTGTAACATCCCAACGTCAGAAAACTTTAGAATCCTTAAATCCTATGAAAAGCTTTTCCTTCTTCACTACTGCTCTATGCTGTGGTATAGTCCTTCACGAGACTTGGTCTCTGTTTTACACTTTCTTAATTATACAGGCAGTCGGTTGGACTCCCTGGGTGGGGGATAAGGTCGTATCAAGCTCGCTACCTACACAGAACAACATAAACACAAAATAAACACCAACATCCATGCCTCGAGTGGGATCCGAACCCACGACCCAGTCTTTGAGTGGGCGAAGACAGTTCATGTCTTAGACCGCGCGGCCACTGTGATCGGCGATTTCCTTATTTGGGCAAATCTATACTAACCGAATGCGCTTGAAACCACTGCAATACGGAGCTATACCTCCACTCCTCCATACTCCGTCATGATGTGGTGCTTAATTAAGCAAGACAACTTTCAATTTAAATCTCAGGATTGTCTTCTGCGATGCGGATTCGTTTAGTCTGGTGGATTCTCAACGTCTCGTTAAGAGTAACTACTCTTCTACTCCAAATATTGAGGCCGCACGTTCGTCCGAAACGTCGGTGAACATGTGTTTCATTACAAGCTAGTAACATCACAGTCCCATACAGGCGGCTGGATAAATGTTGCGCCTGGCACCGTGACATCCTCCTAGGCCACATTACCTCGTGTACAATTCATGTTGCAAATTCTGTGAGGAGTGTTGCCCTTTGACAGCAAAGGATGTGTATATTACATGCATCCATAGACACATAAGGAACTGAATTCTTTATATTCGTGTAAAGTAAAAAGAAAAAGTAAAGTTATCCCTGTAACAGGCCGTTGAGGCCCATAGGGTTGTGAAACGCTGAGGGTAAAACCGATAGTAAATAATTTTACATGAGAAACAGTTTTCATAAGTTATAAAACGCTTTAACTAAGAAAAGTAAGAGCCCTGAGGACGAAGACAATATGCTCCTCCGAAACGTCGATACCAGCCTACACAGTACAGATCCCCGAATCTTACAATGAAACGAAATGCGACTATGCAGCACCTGCTGCGCTCGTGTCAGGCGGGTTGCAGGCCGTGGAGGCGACGCCTGAGTTGCGAATGTTAACCTTAATCAGTACAAGGGAAGGGGTGGGGTGGATCTGCAGCGCCGTGTCATGGGCAGAATTGATCGCACAAACAGCAGAGCGTCGTTATTTTTACAGTTGATTTGCAACGCGTCCCGCCGATATTCTGAGAGAAACATTCGCGCCACGCCAACAACAATCTGCCGCGTGCTCTGCGCAGGCTCAAGGCCGTGCTCTTGGTTTCACTGGATCGCAGTGTCGCTGCGCCTCTCACACGCGTCTCTTTATTATTATAGTGTGACATGTAGTCCCATTGCCAAGTAACAGCTGTGTAAACAGGCGTCAGTACAACAGCCCTTGCTAGGGAACAGTTCTGTGGACACGTTTCCCCGGCAACGAGAGAACACGCAGTAATGGAATAGATGTTTTCTGTGCCATCCGTGCCGGGGCTATATATAACGAGGTCTAGTGGTTCAGTCGGTTGAGTCATTAGGAGGAGAGAAAACTCATCCAGCATCATAACGAGGCTGCAGCGAAGGGGGAACTGCAATGAGGAGCAGCACAATGATCTCCTGAGGGATCGTCCGGGAGGTGGATCTCTAAGTTCGCCTCGCCAGAGCAGTCCTGCGCAGCTCCACTGCGTCGAAAAACGCAACCACATGCGCCGCCGACAGATGGGAGAAGCGCGCGGCACACGCTGCAGCTGCAGCTGCATCTGTCTGTCAGTAGAGGCTCTCAGGTAGACTAACATTGACATGTAAAAAACCGCCACTGAAGTGCGACACGTCATGACAGAGCTCAATGAAGCCGTGTCAGAAGAAAACAAAATAATGGTCATTACAAAAATGGTCAAAGTAAAAAAGTAAAGTACAGGTATCCCTGTAACAGGCCGTGGAGGCCCATAGGGTTGTGAAATGTTGAGGCTCCCACATCTTCTAGACAATCGGCTCATAGATGGCCGTGAAGTTATCAGCCTTACGCGCCGGTCGCCCTTTAACCCCAGGAATATCCCTGGTACTCCTTTCTGGTAGAGGCTGACTCGACTCAAGGACCAT